TTCTAATCTTTTTTCTTAAACGTTTTAAAATTTTTTATTAATTCATTAGTACAGGTGGGTTGTCTCTTTAATCTTTCTAATTTTAAACTATGTTTTAAATGTATTATATTTATTTAAATTCCAACTCACCCACATTCCATGATCATTACAGCAAATTGCTTTCAAAAACCTGGTACAGAGAAATCGTCAAAATGAACAGCAGAATCAGGGACCTCCAGCTCTGAACTCCACCATCCAGCTGCCATTTATAATCATCAATACAAGCAGAAAAACAGTCATAGATTGCAGCATCTCCAGTGATAAGTGAGTAGAGAATGAGGGGTCGGGTGTAGGGCTGGCCTCTATGAATGTACTCCTCCCTACCCTTTGCAAAGTGAGAAAGGTTTCACTCTTCCTTGGGGCACGTGAAACAGTTCCTCAAACCCTCTGCAGTCCCCTGTCCTGGGCCACTACTGTGCTGTCTGTGTTACGTGTGGAGCAGTGCCTGGGCCCAGCCTGTGCCAGGCTACACATACGTAGTAACTCAGAGCAAGTAACAGCAATGAGTTGGATGGTCACTGGGGGTTGGTTTGTTGGTGATTCACTCCCAAAGCTTATTATAGAAATATTTCAGATTAGCATGTGCATCAAAGCAGTTGTCTCTTTGTTCTGCTCTATCATAGTTATAGGTGCAAACATGATTGCATTAATGTACAGAGCTATGATTTAATAATTTAAAAAAAGGAGTGAACAGACATGAAAATGCTTTTTATTTTTCTTTTAAAATAATTTTATAATTTGGCCTGGTGCCCATAGCTCAGTGGCTAGGGTGCTGGCCACATACAACGGGGCTGGTGGGTTCGAACCCCGCCTGGGCCTGTCAAATAACAATAACAACTACAACATCAACAACAAAAAATACCAGATGTTGTGGTGGGTGCCTATAGTCCCAGCTACTTGGGAGGCTGAGGCAAGAGAATGGCTTAAGCCCAAGAGTTGGAGGTTGCTGTGAGCTATGACACCACAGCACTCTACTGAGGGCGACATAATGAAACTCTTGTCTTAAAAAAAAAAATTTTACAATTTAAGATTTATGCTAATATTCATTATAATAAGTGAGAAGTAGCACTTTGCAAAATAGAGGATTAATTTGTAATTTATTTTACCCCTCAAGAAAGAGTTTCTGTCAATGGTCTTCAGGCTGAGAGCAGCATCGTGAGAGAGTTAAGTTCAGAGTGAGATAGACCTAGGTGTGGATTGTGGCTCCCCCACTTAGCAGCCCTCAAACTTTGCTTTCTCAAGAACAAATAAGAATGATATAGGGTCTCTGCCACTTCCCAGGCCCGTTACGAGGATTAAATGAGAGATGACCTGCAAACAGTCTGACTCTAGGAGGGAGCTTATTGCAAGAGGTCAGCGACCTGGGTGCAGTGGCTCATGCCTGTAATCCCAGCACTTTGGGAGTCCAACACAGGAGGATCATTTGAGGCCAGGAGTTTGAAAATAGCCTGGGCAATGAGACCTTGTCCCTATAAAACATAAAAAAAATTTAGCTGGGTGTGGTGGTGTGTACCTGTAGTGCCAGCTACTTGGGGGGCTGAGGTAAGAGTTTGAGGTTGCAGTGAGCTATGGTGATGTGGGTGCACTCCAGCTCACAGAGGGAGATCCTGTCTCAAAAAGAAAAAAAAGTCAGCATATAGTTATTGTCCAACTTGGGATATTTGTGAAAGCAAAGGAGGACTCTTTTATAATTAAGTTGGTGCTGCAGGCATAATACCCTAGAACTGTTGCAGTGAGGCCAGAACTTCTGGTCTCCTTAGCATTGCCCTTGGGCTTCCCAACCCCTTGTTTTCTCTACTCTTTTTCTCTAGCACTTCTGCTCCCCCTGTCCATCTCTGCACACAGAGATTCTGGGCCACTTAAAGTTGAAAAGGCACACATACACACACATGCACATACATAGCGGAAGAAGAACAGTAAGCCGGAATTTCCAAACAATGTGAGTGGGACTATAGACACAGTAAGATATAGTAGAGGGCAGTAAAGTCAGCCAGATCCAGTTTTTTAATCTTTTAAGTTTCTTAATCACTCTGAGATCTCATTCATTCCTACACAAAAATAAGAATTATAGTAATCCTAGCACTCTGGGAGGCCACGGTAGGTGGATCACCTGAGCTCAG